TTTTAACTGGACAAATTCACCATAATTAGAACAAGCATGCTGTTTATACATATGCATGAACGAAACAGTTACCAGGCTGTAATTCTAGAGTAGATTGAAAGATGCCAATTTACTCGGGAACAAATCATTACATTTGCATTGAAAGAATGTTTTGGGAAGTTCAACTTTATTGACAGTATTTGTGGTATTATTGATTTTTCAATTTATATTTATTTAATATTAAATAAATATTAAATATATAAATATCTTATAGTAAATAGAAATGTATACATCTATACCCAGTAAAAACAGTAATATTGTGAAATTCTATTTTAATATACAGTACTGTGTAAAAGTCTTAGGCATGTATTTTCACCCTAAAAACTGGTTTTAATCCAGTTATTTATATCTTTTGCTGTAGTGTGTCAGTAGGAAATATCAGTTTACATTTCTAAACATTCATTTTGCCATTAATTGTAATAATCCAGTGAGATTTTTGCATGCACAAGGAGTCTGACAACCGCCGGTGTGCTCCACATCTCACCATCATTGAGTCTGTCTGTGATTACATGAACAGAAAAACGGAGACAGACTAAACCCAGGAGAACTGTGGCAACGTCTCCAAGACCCTTAAAGGAGCCAACCCGCAAAACTACCTGAAAAGTGTCCAGAAGACAAAAGCTGTTTTAAATACAAAGGGTGGTCACACTAAATATTGATAAATATTAGTTAATTGAAATTAACTAATAAATCAAATTATGTAAATAAATAAATAAATATATATGAAAGCATCCTCACTTTACAGTATTTTTACACAAGTGTCTAAAACATTGAGACGTTGCCACAGTTCTTCTGGATTTAGTCTGTCTCAGTTTTTTCTGTTTCTTCATGTAATCCCAGATGGACTCGATGATGGTGAGATCAGATCTCCGTGGAGCACACCGGCGGTTGTCAGGCTCCTTGTGCATACAAAACTCTCACTGGATTACTACAATGGCAAAATGAATGCTTGGAAATGTAAACTGATATTTCCTATTGACACATTACAGCAAAAGATATAAATAACTGGCATAAAACCATTTTTTGGGGGGTGAAAATACTTGACCCTTTAAACGTCTAAAGTGCATGGCCCATTACTTGCATGGTGTGTGCCTTACAGTAACCATGTTTCTTGCTTGCTTTATAAATACAACTAAGGAACAAGTCAAATGTATTTCCTATGGTAAATGACATACCAAAAATACTGTTGACAGAAGACTCGTTTAAATCAAGAAATAAAATAAAATAATCACACACCACTGAAAGAAAAAGACAAAAACTCTGGAAAAGATCATGCTAATAATCGTGGATCTTAAAACTAAAATCATCTCCTCCCTAACCAGATCTGTTTCTTAAAGAGTTTCTACTCTTCTTCTCATTGCATCTGCACCTGCAGGAATATCCCTCTGAGCATCCAGAGTGGATGCACTTTTCTTTTCTTTTTTAAGCCAGCGTAAGGGTTGCACGTGCAAGTGACTGTGCAAGTGGGAGGGGGGAAACACACTGACCTGCTGCTGTCACAATCTGAATCCTTGCTGAGAAGGCTACGGATAGACCAGCGAGAGCGCCTGCTTAGGGAAGAGCTCCGTGAACATGAGCGAGATGGGGGTAGGAGAAGCACAGAGGGGCTTCCCTGCTCTTCCTCTTCTACATTGGAAACCATCGGAGGCAACGGAGATGCATGTGATGGGCTTTGATTTCTATCTCTTTCCCCTTTCCCCTTATCCCAAAGGTTCAATTGCTGTACCTCCTTGGCTCTCCTGTTCTCTCGGTTTCGGCTGCGTGAGCGGTACCGGTGTGGCCGTGGGCTCGGGGAGCAGGACCACGACTCCGTATCGGACGAAGGTGGAAGAATGTTCAGGGTTGGAATGGGAATGGGCTCAGCCATGGTGATTACAGGTGGTGGTGTCACAGCCATCATCAACAGACTTTCATACATCAACTAGAACTTTTCTGCATCAGGATAGTCTATGGCTGACAGTTTCATTGAGTACAAGTTTCATCACGCACAATCATTCGTTGAGAAGCGCCAAATATTTCCTCTCTCTAGTCTCTTTGTCTTCTACATCTGGTCTGGAAATTCCACTAGAGCCCAAAATAAATATTCTATTACAGAAATACAATCTGATGACATTTGGAAAGGTCTGCATCCATTTCAACTCGCTGTCTTGAAGAAAGTAGTCAGCAGTTGAGCTTCCTTCACAGATGTACAGCATAAATACGACATAGATTCCTGCAGCAGGAACTGAAAAAAATGGGGTGGCGCCATCACTGAGTTCTAATATGCATAAAAAAGTGCAGCCATCTCTTGTGCATATCATTTTTCGAGGGGGGAAAAAACTGAGCATTTGAGAAGTTGAACTTGCTTGCATCGAAGACTACTTGATGTCAGATCCATCTTCTTCCCGTTTCTCTGCTGCTGTTTAAGCATTCTTTCAAAAAAAGGTCTCTGCCCCTTTCTCTTCCACAAGCAGAGTTCACAAAAAATGCAGTTTTGCAATCTGCCTCGTCATTGCGATTTGCACATCAGGTATGATAAGATCATGTTGCTGAAAAGGGGAAAAACTATATTTGTCTTTAACTACTTCAAGCTACAGACTGAAAAATTATTTATTTGAGCTACTTTATATTTTACACAAAACAGATCTTTACAGATCTATTGTATAATGTTGTGGTATTTCACAATATATCAGGGATGCACACACAGTATTAACATCATTCAACACTTAGGGCTGATTTGCATTTCACAAAGCACTGTTTTATTTTAACAGTTTGGCCAAATCCTGAAGAGATTCAGAGACTCAAAACTACATGCATAAGAAATATAAATAAAGTATATTGTTTACCATTCAAAAGCTTGGAGTCGTAAGATTTTTTTTTTTTGAGGCAATTTGCTCATCAAGGCTGCATTTATGTAATAAGAAATGCAATAAAAACAGTGATATTGTGAAATATTAATACAATTTAAAATTACTGTTTTTTCTATTTAATATATTTTAAAATCTGATTTATTTTTATCTTCAGTGTCACATGACCCGGCCTTCAAAAATATTTTGTATACTTCTAATATGCTGATTTGTTGCTCAAAAACAATTCTTTTCAACTATTCAATATTGAAAACAGATGCACTTTTTTTAAACTATAAATTTATTTTAGTTTTTTATCTTACTGACCCCAAACTTTAAACAGTAGTTTCTTAAATGGTCATGGTATTGCATTCCTAATATATTTCCACAAAAGTATTAAATCCTCTTTTAAAGACATGTTCACATTTCACATGATTTAGCAGACAAAGTTTAAGTCAATGGTCTTGTTGGACTATATTCTCCCATATTCTTATAGTATAGCTCCTCTAAATGAGATCCAAAAGAACAAAAACATAAAATCATACAACAACAACAACAACCTGCACACCCGGCTAAGTGGTGTTTAATACACGCAAGCTGTTATTAATGTATGGGTGGAGTAACCGTTGGTTGATTACAGTACAATGAAGCCATCATCTCTCTGTGATTGTTTGTCATTTGCCACCTGAACACTTTGAAAAACACCTCTAGGCTGCTAACATGAAGGTTGCAGACTGTATCCAAAGAAGAGGTGAACCAAAACCTGCACTGTTTACGGTTTAGTTTTCTTTTTCTTATAAGCAACTGCCATTGATTAATCTTGAGTGTGAAACTTCAACAGCCCAATCTAAAGCATAATGACATAACCAGTGAATTTTGAACAGATGCTAAGTGCTAACCTATTACTGTATTGTTGGATTTTATCATGTTGGCGAACTTGCTTCAAAGGGAAGACAACACATTTTGTTCATGCTATGGGAAGGCACATGTAAATAGAAACCCTGTTTTCTTTTCTCACCTGACTATCAGCTTTGCATGATGTTTTACCTTATGTTAAAATGTTTTAACATTTGTGCACAATGCACATACATAGTGTTTGCTGTGGGTAGAGAAGAAAAGTTTCCAACAACTAAGCACCTTTTTAAACAGAGCTCTAGGTCTTTTTTCCTGTCACTTGGACCACAAGCTGGTGAGCCATGCTGAGACAAATCAACCACAACAATACAAGAGCAGCAGTGTGTCCTCTTTATTGTTCACTTTCTTTCAGAGTAAAAATGCCTTCCTGAACTCAAAGAAATTACCATAAGAAACAAACAATTCGCAAAAGAAAAAACTTTAAATACAAATTTAAAAATACTAGCAGCATATTCTCATCACCAAGGGATTGACAAGATAACGAAATCAGCAGTTATCAAACCTGACCTTTATAATAATTGTGTCGAAATTCCTGGTTATTGGGAGATTAATAAAAATTCCTCTGAAAACCTCCTAGACAGAAGAGTTTCGTCATAGGCTTCAGAACAAGACTGACAGCCATTTATCAAGGGCAGGGACAAGAACTGCCACTTTATTTACTTTCCTGTTTGAACAAGCTAAATCATGTCCAGGTTTTGTTTGAACAAATCAAACTAGAGCTATTAACACTTTCACTTACACATTGAGTAAGTGTAAAAACCACCACAGTGTAATAAATAAAAGTTATATTATAGTCAAATGAAGGACATCAATGACAGATACTTTTTAACCTAATAAAAGGCAAATAAGTCGGTAACACTTTACAATAAGTTTTCATTCGTTAACATTAGTTAACTTAACATGAACTAATAATGAACTGCACTTCTACAGCTTTTATTAATCTTTGTTCATGTTCATTTCAACATTTACTAATACATTATGGAAATATAATGTTGTATTTGTTAACATTACTTAATGCACTGTGAACTAACATGAACAAACAACGAACAGCTGGATATTTATTAACTAACATTGACACAAATTAACAAATACAGTAACAAATGTATTGCTCATGGTTAATTCATGTTAGTTAATACATTAAATAATGTTAACAAATGAAACCTTATTGTAAAGTTATTGTAAGTCTAACTTAATAATAATAATAATAACAATAATTCCTACCTTCCATTGGACGAATTACCCCCATTGTTTTTTTCCTGTTCGGCCTCATACACCAGACGGGCGACAGTACGAGGGGTGATGTTAAAATCCACTTTTTCGCAAGAACACATCAGCACCCCTAATTTAGCCAGCAAGCTAACAAAAAAGTAGCTTTCGCTGCCAGTTTTCAGATTAAGCTGTTTTTTTTTTTTAAATTATGTATTTCTGTTGAACTATTTCGGGTCAACATTACATACGTTGAAATGCGTAAATGTCAAATCATACTGCAGTAAACAAACCATGATAGGCGTTAGCAGTGCTAACGAACCGGTCAGCTGTACTATTCAGACAGACAGTTGGGGAGAATACTAGTTGCTAGTTGGCTAGCATGCTAATGATACCGGTGGGAGAGAAAACGGTCCTCTGTTTACTTTTTCTTATCCGTTAAATCGCCTTTCCGCCATTCCAAAATCCTAGTCACAGGACTAGGTGGTGATCTCATAGTTTGGTCTATTAAAATATGCCTATTTAAACTACGTATCTAATACATTTTAAGTATACGAACTTTCCCTAAGTTTAAATGCTACGCGAAGAGAAGAGATAAGATAGAGAACAGTTTCCAATGCGACGGGCAAAAATTTGACAGGGGTAGAATCAAACGCCAAGATATGTATAATTGCAATCTGTGACTTAAGTAAATTAAAGTTTGAACTCTTATGATGAGAATACTTAATATGAACATCGTCGATATTAAAACACGACATAAAGCGGATGACAATCATTAATGAAAATTATACTTAATTACATACACCCCCTCCCGGTTTACTCAATGGTATAGTCGAGAAAGAATCCATCAAAAGGCTCTTCAGCGTGCGCAGACAAAAAGTAACGGGTGTTTTGGCTTTGTTCAGTAACAGGCCAGTACATAAATAATTAATTTTAAATAGCTTTAATTGTCTAAAAAAAAATGAAATTAATGATTAGTATATATGGAATATACAAGACGGTTCATATTACCAGCGCCTTATTAAGATAAATAAAAGTAACCAATCTTCATGACAATTCATCAAAAATCCAATGAAATATATAGGCTTGAATAAACATATAGGCTAATTAAAATAAATATTAGATATTTCTATACTATAGTTAATTTAATCAAATGAGCATTTGTCATTGATGTTCAATTTGATTTCTACTCCACTAATCTTTTCCAGGCTGACATGATTTATTTGCTTATTGCGCCCTCTTCAGGACATAAAGTGTAGCGCGTTTAACCTAAACTAAAAAAAAGAGGAATGAAATACCATAATAATATGGGAGTCCAAGTCCAACAATGATAGTTTGAACATTTAGATTGGTGACAATATAGTAGCAATTTTAAAAGAGTGAGATAAATTCGCTTACCTTGAATGCTTGTTTCAAAGCTTTTAACAATCATTATTATGGACTCGATTAATGAGAGATGAGTGTGGAATTGATATTCTCTTGCCTTTTCAGCCAGTTTCTCGCAAAGAATACACTGTAAACAAAAACAAAAAAAAGTTGCTGACTTAAATTTTTAAGTAGGCTACAATCAACTTCAACTTATGCTATATTACATTGACTTAGCCTACTTGATAAACTGACTTGCATCTTGTACGCTAACTTATAAAAAGGTTGAAAATTGCTTAACTTATTTTGATGAGTTAAAGAAATGTAAAAACACATGTTGTCATAACTTATTGATCATATATTTTTTACAGTGTATGTTCACCTTGCTTTTAAAGGACTGAAGAAAAAGACAGACACTTTATTATGACTATAGGCTATAGGCGACTTGGTAACAGCCCATCCCATAGTAAAACCTTACCTGCATATAGGCTATATTGTTAAAATAAAATAGTATGCTATAAAAACAAAACCATCTCCTGAACTGTGTACTTGAACCTTCCTAGATTTACAGTAGGCTAAAGCTGCTAGTTGAATGGCCTAACCGTTTATATTTACGTGTCATTAGGCTAGATAAATGCTGAAAGCGTTAGGCTATAGATTATTTGATGTAGCCTACAGGATACTATGCTATGTTAACTGTTAGGCTATAACATGTTCCAGTCTCCTCAGTTTTTCCTGTTAATCGGGTTTCCGCGGGAACGTTTTGTTTATCAAATATTAAATAACCTTGACTCACCTCTTAATTCGATTTTGACAGGTTTTCAACACTTGCTCGTGACCTGCTCGTGACTCGTGCCTGTGAGTCGTCTGGTTTTATGAGTTGTGTTGGCGTAGTGGAGAGATTCCATAGGGTTATGTTGTTGCTGTACGTCTGCTGGCACTGAATTGGCATCTGGAAACTCGAGCGGCGCTAAATATAAGTGTTCACCTGCTCGTGGGAGTCGGTAAGGAAATCAAGCGGCACGCTTTGCGTAGCCTGTGCCTGTGGTTGTGTTTGGGGAGGGTGCGCTTGACGCGCGGGGGACCAAAACAACCTTCACTCCGTAGTTTGTCAGTTACTACTCAGTAAACCTCTGACGCAATCTGACATGACATGTCAGTATAAATATTTTACCTTAACACACTTACCAGATCTGAAGGACAATGGATTGACCAAAAAAGAAAAGAGAGAGAAAAAATATTTCTATATGTAATTCTATATTCTATATTGTGATTTTGCCTATTTATTAAACATTTTCTGTAAAAATAAAATAAAATAAAAATAAAAACTTTCTAATAATAATTAGATAATCGAGATAGATAGTGGAATTATTTTCCATTAGGGAGGATTTTGTTAACCTTGATCTCCAATGGCCCTGTGCTCCAGACTATGTAAACTGACACTGAGCATCAGTGCCATGACAAGAAAACAGGGGAGTTGTGTGATAAAACATTATAATTTGGTATTATTTTCCATTAGGGGGGATTTTGTTAACCTTGCTCTCCAGTGAAATGGCCCTGTCCTCCAGACTTAGTAAACTGACACTGAGCATCAGTGCCATGACAAGAAAACAGGAGAGTTGTGTGATAAACCATAAAGCTGCTTCACTACATAAACAGCTAAACTTTACAGCAGCAGCACACACTTGAAAACTTTCACAATTGCAATATAAAATCCTACTCTAGTCTTTTTTATGAATATTACAATCAGTGAGACTTTATTTCCAGTGATGTCACACATTGGGAAGTGTAAATAAAGTGTAAAAAAATAAGTGTCAAATGAAATAATACAGTGACCTACCTGTCAAAAGTTTGGAAACATTACTTCTTTTTTTTTATACATTCTTTTTTTATATACATTTACATTCTTTTTTTATTGAAAGAAGTCTCTTACGCTCAGCAAGGCTGCATTAATTTAATCAAAAATACAGAAAAAAAAAACGTTATTACAATTTAAAATTATTGTTTTCTTTTTTTAATAAATGTAAAAAATTAATTTATTCCTGCGATGACAAAGCTGAATTTTCAGCTTTGCTGAAAATGTTTCCTGAGGAGAAAATCAGCATATTAGAATGATTTCTGAAGGAACATGTGACACAGAAGACTGGAGCAATGATGCTGAAAATTCGTAATAATTTGTAATAATATTTCGATGAAATAAATGCAGCCTTGGTGAGCACAGGGACTTCTTTCAAAAACATTAAAAATATTGTAATGTTTCCAAACTTTTGACAGGTTGGCCTACTTTATGTATTAGGTAATAAAAATCTACAGTATATCAACATTTCCTCATGGAGAACTATTGCAGCTTGTAAATCTTTACAGCCCTCTTTTCATAGAATAGACTTTAGCATCTTTGAAAAGGCCTCCATTGTTGTTTACTTATACTTATTTGACAGTAAAATTCTGCGGAAATTCAAGCAGAACTCTTTTGCATGTCGACTCTATTGTGTGTCCCCTGTGACATCACTGCATTTTGCAAAATGCTAAAAAAGCCATGTCCATTTTTACTGGCTATTGACACTTCTACTCAGGGGCGGACTGGCCATCTGTGTGATCTGGAGAATCACAGAACGGCCGGTACTCCAGGACGGCCGGCGGGCCGGCCCACCGGCCCACCACCCCACCACCCGCCACACACGCAGTCACAGACATCCCAAGTCTCCCGGAAGTTCCGGGAGTCTCCCGCATATTGATAGCGGCTCACTGATGCCCGCAAATTAGTTAAAATCTCTTGGAATCTAGAGCGAATAAGAGCGCACATGCGGTGCGCGCACGGCAGAGAGCTAGAGACCTTGCGTGTGTGTGCTAGTGTGCGCGTGTGCCTCACGAAGCGCATGTAAGGACCCAACCAATCAAGTGCGGGCGGGCTTTTATCTCTACTACTCACGAACCGAATTAATCAGAAATTACTTTGCAAGTTATTGCTAGGGATGATGTTAGGAAGTGATATTCAGCTTGCTACATTTTTAATGATTACAGTAGTTAAAACAGCTAAACTTCAACATTTTAGCTGTAAAATGCCACATGCAGTAGCTAATATTAAGAAATATGTTGTGCTTTTACTTTTAAAAATGTTGGTAACGTTACAGTTAATGCTTACAAACTTTGAAGATTTTGAATACAGAAGTTACATTTGTAATGGTGTAATTTCATTTAGATGTGGTATTATTGTTTGTGCAGTAGCTAAGATTAATTACTGCATAAATTAATTAAGATTATTAAGTAATAAATTCATGTTAAGACAGCATGGAATAGATTGTATAATTTGCTGTTAGCTAGGTATAGTATTATGAGCCACAATTAAAGTCACTCATGCCAGGCGGCAGGCGTTATTGTTGTTGTTGTCGAGTTTCCGCGCGCCGATTGCTTTGGGCCGGGCCTAGTCAAAGTCCAGGGCCGTTTTTTAGTCCCAGTCCGTCCCTGCTTCTACTTAATAAATGTATTATTATGATTTCACAGGAAAGCTGTTATAATAAACATGTTTGTGGAACGTTGTGATAGTGGTGTATACATCTGCAGCTGTCTAACAAAGGGGGAGTATGCAAATTTTTTCCAAGGACAATTTTAGAATGGAGATTTTATGGAGATATACAGTAGGTCATAATCAGTTTCCACACTACATGTGTTTATTCATTTTCACGAACACTACTAACCACAACAAACCAAAAGGATCAGGGATCTCATTATCTCATGTCCTTGACCACTGGTTTATGGTTCCTGAAATTATCTCTCATTAAGCTACAACATAACTACTACTACAACTAGTTTATTTTGTATCATGTTCATTCCTTAGGTCTAATTGAAAATATAAAGGTGATTTCTGAAAATTGATATAAAAAAAAAAAAAAACAAGTTAAAGGCCTGTGTGCTAATTTAATGTGGCAAGCCATTTCAACACTTATTCCTTAAAGGGATAGTTCACCCAAAAAATCCCATATTTACTCACCCTCAAGCTATTAGGTGTATAAGAGTTTCTTATTACAGCCAAAAACAATCAGAGTTATATCAAAAAAATATCCTGACTCTTCCAAGCTTGGAATTTTGGAGCCTGAGATTTTGAAGTCCAAAAAAGTGCATCCATCCATCATAAAAGTAATCCATACGGCTCCAGGGGGTTAGTAAAGGCCTTCTGAAGCGAAGCTATGCATTTTTGTAAGAAAAATATCCCTATTTATAACTTTCTAAACTTTAATCACTGGCTTCTG